CAATTCTTTACCCTAATACTTATCACAAAATGAATGTTGCTAATTATTCAAAAGTATTGAATTTATTATCACTTATATAGGATCTGCTGAGCTTGGAATTAGAATGGATGCTGATTCTGCCATAGAAGAGGTTTTCAATCCTTCTTTCATTTTGCTTCTCCTCCCTCCCTTTACTTCGTTCTCTAAAAAGTAATTTGAATTAAATTCATCAGAGACAAGATTTTGGAACAAAACTACTTCACTGGAAATGAGGATAAAACCAAGATTTGTGTTTCAATTAAAAAAAAAAAAAGCTAAAATTTCCCTGTAGATTTTTGCTTTCTCTATTTCATGAATCTGCCTCTGCATGAACAATGAAAAGAGGCTTGACAATGTGAACTGGCAGTGGATTTCTCTAAGGTATGTGGTAGCACTGTCACTGCAATGAGTACATGAGTATAGTCTCTGAGTCAAGCTTTTATAGCAGCTGATTTTTACAGTAGCTAAACGTTGGCCCAGCTATCACCTGACTTGCATGATCTAGTATCTGTCAAACACAATTTCTACTTTTTTGCCATGTCTTACTTTTCAAAATTTGTTTCCCTTTTTTTTTTTTCTTAAATTAAACTGAGATACATTTTTAGTCATTGGAATACTTTTTTTTTTTTTTTTAGAACTTTTGGGACATTTCAGTGTCTCATTTTTGTTTGTTTACATTGTTATGAGTCTGGCAGGGTAACACAGAGATAAAGCAGAGATCCACTTGGTTTGTTAATAAATTGTAGAATATTGATACTGGATTGTAATTGCTTGACCACTTTTGTATAAATCTGCATTTTGAAATTACAGCCAGTTTGCTGACCTTGAACACATGAAGATATGTTAAAAAAGACAGTATGATTAGGATTGCGTGGCTGATGGGGATCTAGAAGTATTGGAGTAGTTTTTGCTCCCATGTTCACAGTCAGCCGCAAGGTTTTAATCATATTGCTTTGATTGCACTTCATAGCTATGTCATTTGTTAGTACCTGAGGCAGCTTGTGCAGCTGTAACTCAGGTGTCCTTGTATGGTGGTCTGTCTTGTGATGAAGACGTACCTCCTGCCAGCATCATACGTGGGCTTCCAGAGGCTTGCTGAGGCATAGTGAGCCAGCAGTCGTGGGTAGCAGGAGGGCACCACCGCTGAGATTCTTCACCAGATCTCATCTGTAGCTTTTAATTTTTGAGATCTATCATTTTGCTCAGTGACACAGAAGCCTCCTCTGGCAAATACAGTAAATGAGAAAATTAAAGAGAAACCACCTAAAGGCTTATTTACTGTATGAAAAACCTGCATGGTGATTGGCTGCATAAGCCTGAACGACAAGCTGGGGAGGAGAAAAAAGCAAACCTGCAACTGTTTGGGATTAACAAATGTGTAACACAAATAGCGTCTTCATTAAAACAAATGAGCTTTAAAAAAGCATTGAATGCAAAATTCATGTGAGTAAATACAATGAAGAAGTAGGAGTAAGATTTGTGTTTCCAAAGAGCATAAAAAAATCTGACCTAAAAAGAACATATGTGATGTTGTGTGTTGTTTAGTCAGGATTATTAGCTAGCACTAAGTTGTGCTATCAGTTGAAGCACAAGCTTTTCATCTCTGGGAGCTTGAATTATGATTAATATTTTTCAAAAATCTCAATTGGGTCATAAATGTTTTGGCAATTTCAGATTAGCGGCATAGCGGGTGGAGGGCATTCTAAAACACGCCTTGGGATAGAACAGTTGAGTGCACTGATTACTAGGCTATGCAAGTAGCTAGAACCAAGTGGGAGGGTGCCCTCACATCAGGAATGAGGGGTGCTGGCTCTGCAGTAACAGTGGAATCCTGCACAGTGCCTGCCTGTGCCATGCATGACTAGCTGATTATCTCGGTCCTTCGTGGAGCCCTGTATTCCCTCAGCGGATATTTTGAAACCATCGGCTGGTCAAGGATCAGCCCTGTTCCCTAACAAAGCGTTGACAGCCTTAATAGAACTGGAAAATATCTCCTAAATAACTCCCAGGAAGGTCTAGAAAAGGTAAATATCCTTGGTGAAGGCCACCTTGCTAAAGAGAAGGGAGAATGTGGGAGAAAAACACAGATTGAGAATGAGAGAAAACAACCAGAAAAAGAAGGAAAGGATCATTCAGTGCCTGCATTTGTAGATCAGGAACACATTCCATCAGAGCATTGTGATATGAAGGGGGGGATGGGGGGGGGGGGGGAAACGCACCCAAAACAGATACGATGCAATAAATTGGGCTATTTAGCTTGCATATTTAGTTAGCACATACTCTTATCTCAGGAGATGAGGTGGAATAAATAAGCTAAATAAAAAGCCTAGCACAGAAAAATAACTAAACCTCCTCCCAAAACAAAACATAAAAGGAATGATCTTCTTTAATGATAGCCTGTTTTCTCTCAAATATCATCCAGTGTTTATGGATTATAACTTACAGAAAAATACCAACACAGTCATTGTGAACAATATTTTTAAGATTTCTCTTGGTATTAAGTACACCTTATTGCATTCTTCTGTCATCTCTGTGGCAGCTGAAACAAATTATTTCATGGAAATGTAACAATAAGGCATTTTGCATACATGTGTTATCGTGCAATCCTATTGCCTGTTCCCATTCAGATTTTTTTTCAGTGGATCCTCTCTTCTATTTAAACCACTGTTTACTTCTTCTAGAAAAATAAATACTCATTTCTTCTTATTTTTTCCTCTGCTTTTGTAGAGTGTGCAAGCTTTGTAAGCATTTGTCTTCAAAATTTTCCTAAATTGTAAGAGCATACTATAGTTGTTCCTAGGCAGATGATGAAAGGAAGATCAGAGTGGCTGTATTTTGAAGTCTTTGCTCATTTTGGGTACTCATCTTGAAAAAGATCAGATCTGTCTTTTAATGAATATTTAACATTTTGTTCCCCTATACACATGACTCCAAGAGTGACTGATTTGAGTGTGTCATATTTTTATCCTAAAGCTTTTACATGTACTGCACAACAGATACAGTTTCACAACCAAATTGTGTAGATAAACAGTGTTAAGACATGGAGTTCCACTTGGTGTTTTTAAAGCTGTTTTCTCACACCACGAGGATGTTAAGATTCTGGACCCCTTGATCCAGTGCTGTTTCTGGAGGGATGCTGCCTCATAGCATATATGAGGTTTGTAGTATTTGGCCTGTTTTGTTTCCTTCTGTCCAATTTTTCTAGCTTTGTCCTCTGTGAAAACCTATTAGTGCATGTTGCTCCTTTTCCTAAACTACCTGCCTGCTCTTGCCTACTTTTATTATATCCATACCCCTCTTTTCTGTCTTGGCCCTATCTTCTGGTGTTCCAGATGCACTGCTTTTTTGCTCTCTCTCACTTTACTGAAAAGCAATGAGACAGGTGATTTTAATGAGCCACCTTTGTACATTATGTTTTTTTCCACAGCCTGGATAAAGTCTTTGCAGGGAAAGAACCACTCAGTTTCTACAACAGTGATGGGAGAATCCTCCTCACTGCACAATGACCTGGAACAGTGACCATGCCCCAGGCTAGAACTGTTAGACCTGCATTAGTGCTACTGAGTATTCAGAGAACAGAGCTGCTGAATTTCGGCTCATCTCTTCTGAACACTGGTGGAATGTGATTTTTTGAAAAGCAAAAGTACTTCATTAAATCTGGGAGAATTTCCACAGGGTTGGATTAGAAGTGTTAGAATAGGAACATCCAACATGTTGAAACTCTTGAGCAGTTCCAGTGTGGCTTTGCTGCCAGGACAGTTGGATATACCTGGCAGGTGCCGACAGTTTGGTCAGTCCAGATCTGTAGCTGTGGAAGCAGTGATGCCACAGTGATTGCTTAAGGCTGATGTTGACGGATGATGTGGATTTCAAGCTGTAAACCCAACTATGTTTAGCCCTGGCTGTCACAGAATGGGGGGTTCCCTGGTGAGTTTTTGTCATGTCCGACCCATGTACTGTTTGTGGGATTTCCCTTTCCCTCATGTCTCAGGTGTGTAATATTTATTGCATGGCTCTGAGCCACATGAATATCAAGTGCTACTGCTCAAGAGGATAGAAGGGTTGGTCAGGCTGGTGCTGAGCCAGCTGCTGAAATTGGCTGAAATGGTTTTAGGACTGAGCATATGATGAGTGACTTTCCCATAATTGTGTTCTGGCAAACAGCTGAATTGGTTCAGCTACAGCTTCCGGAGAAGAATGTGGAAAATATCACCTGGAAGTGTTCTCTTTAGCAAACACAAAAATAACTAAACGTGGAGCTTACCATCCAGGACTTGAGGAACAATTTTAACCTTCTCTAAAATGGTTGTGGTTTCTGTTACTATTATTATTCATTACTAAAATAGCTGTACTATTTTTTCATCATTTAAACTCAATGATATAGTAGTTCACTTATTGCAAGCTTATTTAGCTGTACATTGTTTTGCTACACACAGTGCATTGTGCTGCTCAAAAATGCTGCAGAAAAAGGTGATGCTTGATATTGATTATCAGGTGGATAATGCCTTCTTAATTGGACTGTGATGAAATTTAATAATCTCAGAAGTCATTCTAATGTGTCAAGCTTTTAGTGAAAGTATGGCAAATAAAGGAGCTTTTTTACCTCTTGGGATAGATGATGTTTAATTAAGTTACTGTTTTTCTGGAAAATGAAGTTATAGAGAAGTGGTATCAGGCATACTCAAAATGGTTACTGATTTAATCGATCAAATGGCGAAATAGTGTTTTGCTTTAGACCCAGGCAAGCTCTTGAGCTCTTACAGCAATCTTTATTATTCTTTCCTAGCTGCTCAATGTGATAATGTAATGCGAGGTGATTACTGAAGTTTTTATCTGGCAGATTACGCTATTAACCTGGCACTCCAGTAAATGGTCATGTTCTAGCAAAAAGGCAGGACATTATGCAAAAGAGCACTTCAGCACACAAGTCTGTTCAGTGCACAAGCACATTGTGGTTTTAATTTTATTTTACTATTTTGTAGGATTGTATTGATGTGGGTTGGTGGGAAGGAGAACTCAATGGCAGACGCGGTGTGTTTCCAGATAACTTTGTCAAGCTCCTTCCTTCTGATTTTGAAAAAGAGGTAAGCAATGTACTCTTTCATATTTGCTTTAGAATACAGAATGAAAGTGGAATTGAAAGGAATTCTCTTTCGGATATGTGATTTTGACAAAGTTTTACTTCTAACTTAATAACAAAAAAAATGTTAGAGAAAACAAATTTCTGGGTTACAAAACATCCATGAAGAGAACATGTGGCACTCAAAGTCATATTGTGAAGTTTCTTTAAAGGGTTTGATTAGCCTATCTAGTCAGTCCACCTCCACTAGGTTTCTCTGAAAGCCCTCTGTCTTGCATCCTGAGTTTGAGAGGGGGAGAAACTGGAGGTCCCAGGGTAATTTGCTGAATCAGGTGATGCAGTGATGACCAGAATTGTTAACTTTTCTCCACTGTTTTTGTGGTGGAATATGAAAAGTTATTGTACTATATGCATGCTGTTTGACAGCAGTCAAGCACTCTTCCAGAATAGGAAGAGTGAAATTCTAACTGTGAGATATGAAAGACAACAGTGAGGTTTTGGTATCTCAGAATTATTAAAAAAGAAGGTGTAAAATCTTTGCAGAAGCTCTTTCAGCTTCTATTTATTTGAAAGAGACAATGTTCTTACTTGCCAAATAATATTTAGAAATCCTGCAGCTTCCTGGAAGAAAGTAAGGAATTACTTCCCTCCACAAGTCCATTCCATTTTTAGGAACCTTTTCAGTCATCAGTGGGATATTACGAGCTTGCAATCGGGCTTTTGATTAGTATTTCACAGTGATGGTGTAAGGCTTCTGTGATAAAACTGAGACTTACTGACACTCAGCTTCAATCTTTGGCAATAAAATTGGATGCCAGAGGCAAAGATTAAATAACTTGGAAAGCTTAATAAAGCAACTGTTAAACAATTCACAAAAGCTAACATGATAATTATTGAAAATGAAGGTAGAAGAGCAGCAAAAACTGTGGGAGATGAAAACGCAGTTCTGTGGCAAAGTGAATATCCTGGCTTTAGGCCTAGTAATAAAAGAAGGTGATTTCCAGAAGAGGCAGAAATCATAAACTTAGGACATAGTGAGCCTGTTAGAGAAGAAAAAAATCTTTACTCTTATCCATTTTTGTAGTGAAATTTATTCAGTCTTTTTGTATGTATGCATTCTGTATCTTTAAGTGTTTTTTTCTTTAGAGTATGATGAAAATAACTTGTAGAATAAATTAAATATTCAGACACTTAAAAATGGCAGCTAGGTTTGCTGTAAATGTGGAGAATAAAATTTTACTAATTTTTAAAATGGCAGATCTGGCCACATGAGTAAGTAACTGGTAGCACTATAGACTGTCTGTCTTTACTTCAATCAGTGCTAAAAGGGGAGGAAATGGATACTTTTCCAGTGGTTTTGTCAGGTATTTTTTGATGTGATCCAGACACCTTGGATTCCATCCCATGGTCTGAAAGTATTTGGTGTAGTAGTTCTGTTTGTTGAACAAAAGCTAGAGACCTTTTCCCATCTCCTTGTTCAGACCCCAGTTTTCCAAACCTGATTCTTCTCCACACATGGCTATTTGTCCCAGGCCTTTTCTATTCACTGCCTAGTCCCAGTCTCCATCTCTCAGGTGATCTCAATTACAGGATTTTTCCCTGAGCTCGCTACCTGAGTCTAAATCACCATCTGGATTTACTTTCTGTCCCTACATCAAATTTATTTATCCAGTTTGTTTTCCTCTCCCCTCTCACTCATTATCCCTGCTCTGTTCCCTTCTTGTCCAGTCAATCCTGTTGGCTTCTGTTCTAGTCTGTCTCCTTCACCTTCTCGGTTGTCTCATCCAGCCACAGAGCCTTGTAATTCTTCCTTGCTTCTCCACGTTTTCCTCAGCAGTCTTTAGGCTCCTTCACGCTACTTCCTTTCTGATCTTTGTCTGCCTTTTCGAAACAATATATTTCCCTCATCAGCTTCCAGTTAAAGCCACTTTGTCTAATGAACTGTAGGACCCTTTCTCCTTTGTATTTTATCTGCATTGCATGTTTTAGTTTTAATCAGAGTGGGATATGTAGTGAATCTCCCACTTGTCTATCTGCACTTACTGTGCTTCGACTTGCCTCGTAGACAGGTCTCAGGACATGAACTAGACTCGTTTCAGATGAGAACTAAGGCAAAAGATATTCTAAAGGAGTGCACCCCTTATATTCCAGCTGCTGATGTATGGACAGTCAATGGGATCAGGCTCACAGCGCTCCAGAATAAAACCCTAAATGTGTATATTGTGCTGTTGGGTACTCAGCGCCAACTATTTCACTCTGCAGACATTGTCAGCCAAACCCCCAATTGCTATCACAAGACATTCATTGTCCCTACTGTCTTTCCTTTCCACATTTTCCTGCACTTTTCTGCGTCTAAACCTTGAACCATGTTGCCCAAATGCAAGCAGAAGTGTCTCTGAGAGTATAAGGAACTCAGTGTTCATGGACAACGGTCCATGGCAACCAGGCTAGAGAAGATCATTCTGAGCTCCTGAGTTCTTGGCCACAGCTTTCTCGGGTTGATGACAGGAGATGATATGGTTAAGAAAAGGTGGTAGGAAAAGCCTGAGGATTGCAGGATGGCAACTTCAGAGCTTTAATCTGTTAGACTTACTCAGCCTGTGCAGAACTGGTATTATTTTTCTCCAGAGATGAGTAAGTTTGCTAGATTTGAGAGAGATCCCCCAGGAGCGGTAAGTGGCAAGGGCTCAGCCTTCACAGAAAACGCGCTCCTTGTCAGCTTGCAGGCTAAGACTTGAGAGTTGTAGGGCAGAGGGTGAGCTAGTTACTGCAAGCAAGCAAAATAATTGATCTTTCTGGAAAGCAGGTGAGCCATTTGGAAGATACATAGAAAATAACAGGGGGAAAAAAATCAGCATGAGTTTGATAGAAAATATCAACCTAAACGGTTGCTTGAAGTTTGTCAAAACTATGGATATCTGGAAACTTCATCTTATAGCTAGTTCTACAAGACAATATATGGTGTTGCATAGCTAGCAACATGGTGACAGGGATTGTGGTCAATCAGTAGCAAAGGAAATAAGGTCCTTCTCAGAAAAAAGGACAGACATATGAAGAAAACAGTTATTAATTTTTACTTAGGCTTTATTCTCAGGTGTTTTTGTTTGTTTGTTTGTTTGCTAAGACTGATAGTTAAGGTATATAATTTGATCTGGCACAGTGCTCCATTTATTTTTGTATTAATTCCAATGTACATATGGTGAATGCCAGTATGGTGTGTGTACATTGACAAGGAAGGAAACCCACTCCTCTCCTAGCCTGCAGGTGAAGATAAATAGTAAAAATACAGATTGGTTGGAATATTTTATTTAATTTCACCAAACATCGAAAACTTTGGTAACTGTCTTTCACAACTGGAGCTGTAAATGTATCATAGTAAGTGAATAAAATGTCACCTTTGCAGCATTTCCTGTATTCTAAATTTTTGACCTATTTATGAGTCTGAAAAAATGCACTTCAGGCTTTGCCACATCCAGGTGGTTTTTTGTGGTGGTTTTGTTTTGTTTGTTTGTTTGTTTTTTCCAAAATAGGTTGGAATATTTACAAGATTAAGTTTTTTCAGTAAACCAAAGGTCAAATATATCTCTAATGTTAAGGTACATAAACTGGACTTTTTTTTCCCTCTCAGCAGGACATTTGATTTGCAAAAGTAGAAAAATGTTATTTTATTTGTCAATGCTATTTTCTCTCTTCAAATTCATTTTAATTAAGTTATTTCAGGGGAAATATATGACAGATGTGTAGTCTCAATTCTTGTAATTATTAATGGTAAGCAATGTATGATTAACTCCAACCTTTGTATGAATGAGATTTACGGGCGTTTTGAAGCAATCTGTTTTCTTCTGTTATTAAATTTTAGAGACCGAAGAAACCACCACCTCCATCAGCTCCTGTCATCAAACAAGGATCAGGTAAGGTGCAGCTGATTTTGCACAGCACGTCAGTGAGCACATCTCAGTCTAAATTAAGTGTATACAAATTTATATAGAATTCATCTTTGTCAGAATTGATAACCAGGAGATGTCCATAGAACAACGAATAAATCAGAATGAAATTGAAAAAAGATGATAGCTCTGATAGACTATGGGTGTGCTTTTTAAATTTATTGCAGGCAACCATCTACGCCACTTTAAAATAATGTATTTTGCTCCTTAAACATGTTAATTTGGAGTGAGCATGATGCTTCAGTATTTAAAAGTTTTCCGGTTCTGTTCCTTGCCTGAAGTTGATTGTGCACATGCAGTGTAGACCCAATATGTTGGAGTCTAATAATACCTGCAGAAGGTAACTGCATTTGCTCTACACCCACAGATCTGATTTATTCTAGAGATAAATAGCTTTTTTGCATGTCTATAAGGCAGTGTCAGAGAACATGGCTGTAATAAAGTGACCCCATCTGAGTTGCAGTCTAACTTACAGATCTGCATGAATGCTGGAGCTGTCTGTCTGTGTCTATGCCATAGTTAGATTCTTGGTTTTCAAACTTAAAGGAGTTATCCTGAATCTAGTTATGTTGATAATGGTGTTGCAAATGTATTAAGGGGTTGATTATGTTTTCCAAATGGATGGGTGCTAGCAAAGCTGGTTCTGGAATATGTTAGACTGAATTGTGTGTAAATACTGAGAGCTGAAACCACTTTTATGTGCAGTTTTAAAACTAATTCTCAATACAAATTTTCCAAAGTGCTTGCATGATTTATTTTTTCCATGAATCTTAGAAACAGTTAAAGTATCTATGCACTTGACAGTTCTGACCTCGAAAACCAAATTCCTGTTAAATTCATGTAAAGTCACAAGGCATGGGATGCTCTCAGAGTTTTCATTTGTATTGCAGTTCTGCTGGAAACATAATTATGGCTGGAATTCTTTAATCCCTTAACTCCAGTTGGTTTGTTAAAATTCTGCAGCAGCACTACCACTTCCCCCACTGCTGGCGCACGTTAAAAAAAAAAACCCAAAAAACATGTCCAATCTAGACAGATTATTTTTCTTGTCACTGTGGTCTGTTCCAGCTTTCAGTGCTTTAGAAAGTAAATTTCCCTCTCCTACAGTCTTGATCTATTAATAGAAGAACAAGTTACACCAGTGTACAATTTACTGGGAATCAATAGGCTATAATTTAACTAGTTTGAATTTGTCAGGCAGCTTTTTGACTATGGAATTATGACTATAAATATTTTATTTACTTCTTGACTCTGTCTTGAGACTCCTAAAAGGTAGCATTTTAAGATCAGTGAGTAGCGGTGTCCAGAGAGAGCTGTGTAACTTTGCCGCCTAGTGGTGGCTGCATACTGAGGATGTCTTAGTGACAACTGACAGACGTTACAGCCTGACACGTTCCGGAAAAATTCTCTAAAGCGTTATGTTTCTTTCACTTCATACTTCTGTAATTAAGGAATAATAGTTTAATATGTTTGTGCCTGTTTTCATCCAACACAGTAGCTGTGTCACCATAGCAGGATAACATGCCCATTTTCAGAAGGAAAAATGGATGCATAAAGGATGCAGACAGTTTGATTAAGGCTGTCTAATCTGTGGCAAAGCCAAGGTTGTTACTGTTCTTTATTTTCATACTCAATCTTTGACAAGTCATAGAATCATAGAATGGTTTGGGTTGGAAGAGACCTTTGAAGGTCATCTAGTCCAACCCCCCTGCAGTGAGCAGGGACATCTTCAACTACATCAGGTTGCTCAGAGCCCCGTCCAGCCTGACCTTGAATGTTTCAGGGGATGGGGCTTCTACCACTTCTCTGGGCACCCTGGTCCAGTGTTTCAACACCCTCATCCTAAAAAATTTCTTCCTTCTATCTAGTTTAAATCTCCCCTCTTTCTGTTTAAAACCATTACCCTTTGTCCTATCACTACAGGCCCTACTAAAAAGTTTGTCCCCACCTTTCTTATAGGCCCCCATTAAGTATTGAAAGTCTGCAATAAGGTCTCCCTGGAGCCTTCTCTTCTCCAGGCTGAGCAACCCAAACTCTCTCAGCCTGTTCTCATAGGAGAGGTGTTTCATCCCTCTGATCCTTTTTGTGGCTCTGCTCTGGACCCACTCCAAGAGGTCCATGTCTTTCTTGTACTGAGGACCCTGGAGCTGGACACAGTGCTGCAGGTGGGGTCTCACCAGAGCAGAGTAGAGTAGAGGGGCAGAATCACCTCCCTTGACCTGCTGCCCGTGCTTCTGTTGGTGCAGCCAAGGATACGGTTGGCCTTCTGGACTGTGAGTGCACATTGCAGACTCATGTCCAACTTTTCATCCCCCAGTACCCCAAGTCCTTCTCTGCAGGTCTGCTCTCTATCCATTCATCCCCCAGCCTCTATTGATACCAGGGATTGCCCCAGCCTGGGTGCAGGACTTGGTTGATTATGCACAAGAGTTTCTTCTGATATGTATTTAGAGGTGAAAATCAGCCTATGTTTATTACCATCCTGACATCCTCTCCTTTGTCAAATTATCACTTTGCTGAGATAACACTGTATTTTACCAAGTCCCCATGTCAGGCCTTACCGTTGATAGTAGGTAACAATTTCCAGTAATGTTTCTGCATTTTTAATTAGTCATAATGTGATTAATAAATTGAGAACTGTCAGTTGCAGCCTAAATAATTAAATATCATTACTTTCTGATGCAGACCATAAAATCATAGCAGAAAAATAGAATTGGTCTTTGTGGTACAAGTGGTACGTATGTAAAGGAGGTGTCTGGTATGTATTGTAGTATAGCAGGAAGTTTGTCTGTATTTCTGAATTCTGCACAGCAGAAGACTGACAGATCTGTCTGTGCTCGGCTGCTTTGCATAGCAAGGTAAAAATTGGAGAACCAAAGTTAGGAGCAAGAGTCCCTTACATAGTCACTGAAAAGCAGTATGCATTTCGCTGGGTAGCTGGGATAAGCAATACAACAGTGTCTAGACTGGAGGATGGGAAAACTTATGTTGAGTCCCTCTGGGAAATGGTACAGAGTTCACCAGAACTTCCTTGCAGGTGACCTTCTCCTGGTAGCTAAGGCAGGATCATGGTGCCTGCCTGCATACTGATTAATTTGGGGGTCACAACACAGGTAGGGAATACACCTGAGCCTGCTCAGTGTTTATAGGTTCATTGTATTAGATACAACCTCTGAGAATGTCCTTCTGTGTGTTAAAGATGACTGTTAATCTTACTGTCATTAGGTATATAGACTTGTGTCTTTTTTTTTTCTTGGACACACTGGTATGTGCAAGTTTATCAATATCTTGACTTGTACTTTGAATAATTTGTGTTTAGAAAGGCTTTAATTGGTTTCTAGCAGGTTTCTCCTCTCAGGAGTGAAGTATTTTTCATAGAATCATTTAGGTTGGAAAAGACCCTTAAGATCATTGAATCCAACTGTAAAGCGGTAATTCAGTGTTACTGACATGGTAAGTGTTACAAGTGTTGCCTGTCCAGCAGCACAGTTATATAAAGAAACAATGGCCGGTGATCACCGCTGATGAGCAATTTACACTGATGAGTGCTGATTTCTAGGAACCAGCTGCAGAAGAGAGTTGCAACAGCACATTCAGAAAATGTAAATGTACTTGAGAACTGCATAAAATAGAATAGATTGAAGCAAAAAAATTGCCTTGTGTTCCCTGCCCTGCCTCCTCTGCTTTTCTTGGATGTCAGCTACTGTAATTTTTATTGAAATACTAATCGTGTTACCTAAAGCAGTTTTCAACACTACTAAGTTGAAATGGCATTAGCACCTCTTTGTTAGCCAATGCAGCGAAGCCAGTATCCAGTAAAGCATTTCTCATAATACGGGGACTAGAAGATTGCATCTTGCATGTGCCAGGAAATTTTTGCACAATCTTCCTGTTGTTGGTGCCACCAGTTCCCATATTCCTTGTAGGAACAGAAGTCAGAATGTCAGGGTCTCTAGTAGAGAGGCAGAAGAAGGCAGAGGCTTACACCTCCAGGCCAGTTAATGTCAATTAAAATAGTCCTGCAGACTACTGTCAGTGCTACTATTCTCATCCTTCTAATATGTGGAAGTGAACAGCTGGTACTAGAGGTGAAAAAGAGGGGGGTTGTAACTTAATGTGAAATAAGCCCTGTATATTCTTCTGTATTAAGTATTCTCTTGGCAGAAATGCCAGTTAATTGATTTATTCCTAATGATTCTCTGTACTGTTGAATTGTTCTTCAGCTATATATGGCTACAATAGTAAAGGATCTGTCCACATTTAAAAATCTGTAGCTACTGAATTTTTTATTTTATTTTATTTTTTCCACAGAATGGTCTGAAAGTGCCTTTGGAAACTGTGAACTTGACTGTGAAAACATAAACATACAATGGCTTTTTTTGTCATGATGGTATAAGCAAATACTTAAAACTAAGATTTATGTTCAGGTTTAGCAAGACATTTTCAAATTGGAGAATGTAAAAAGCCTAAGAAATTGCAAAATTAGAATCACAGAATCATAGAATGGTTTGGGTTGGAAGGGACCTTTGAAGGTCATCTAGTCCAACCCCCCTGCAGTGAGCAGGGACATCTTCAACCAGATCAGGTTGCTCAGAGCCCCGTCTAGCCTGAGCTTGAATGTTTCAGGGGATGGGGCGTCTACCACCTCTCTGGGCAACCTGGTCCAGTGTTTCAGCACCCTCATCCTAAAAAATTTCTTCCTTCTATCTAGTTTAAATCTTCCCTCTTTCTGTTTAAAACCATTACCCCTTGTCCTATTGCTACAGGCCCTACTAAAAAGTTTGTCCCCACCTTTCTTATAGACCCTCATTAAGAATTGAAAGGCTGCAATATGGTCTTCCCGGAGCCTTCTCTTCTCCTATCCATTTTTTGCTGTAGAGAGCAACGCTGCCACCCCTCCTTCCTCGCCTGTCCCTTCTGAACAGCCTGTAACTGTCAATAGCTACACTCCAGTGATGGAATTTGTACCACCAAGTTTCAGTAATGGCAACTAGATTGTAGCTTTCTAGCAGCACAGTGGCTTCCAGCTCCTCGTGTTTGTTGCCTTTTCTGTGTGCATTGGTGTAGAGGCACTTTAGCTGGGCTGACAGTTGTGTCACCTTCTTAGAGGAGCACCCCTTAGTTCCTTTGAGGTATTTCACCAATGTTTCCCTGTAGGCTCCTATTGTCTCAGGAGCCCCTTGCTCTTCTCTGTAAGACTTCAAATGTGTTGCAGCATACCCAGCACATCTTGGAGCAACAGGCTGAAGGTCTGTTAAATTAAGCCTTATGTGACCATATATGCTGGTTTGTTGGCTTGTTCAGAATTCCAAATTTTCCTTTCTTTGACAGGCACCACAGATCGAAAGCATGAAATCAAAAAGGTACCTCCTGAACGGCCAGAATGCCTTCCTAATCGAACAGAAGAAAAAGGTATGAAATGTGCTTTCCTGCCTGCTCTCTGCAGAGAGACAGGGGAAATGGAACTGATGCACATCCTCATTTCCCAGACCCTGTTTTCATTAAGTGTATTGTTTGGATGTTTATTTCCCACTCTGGCACATCTGTGATAATAATGCATTTTGGATCTCATTGTTGCTTTTGGGCTAAATTCAAGGTATTCAATGGTACCAGTCCAGGGCTGTTAAGTACTTGCTTCATCAACTGAAGTCAAGGGGAGATATGCTCTCAATACATAAAATGCTGTCTAAAGCTCTGCACTCAGTAACCAGGTCCTTGATTGAGTAAGATTAGTGTGTACTTTTTTCTTAACATCTATGTGCCTTAGTTCTCTAGTTAAAAGCAGAGTTGGTGGTTTTCCTGCATCACAGAGGGGTTTTGTGAAGATATAGTCATTAATGCTCATGAATCATCCCATTGTCATAGTCACAAAAGTCATAGGCAAGCCTGTGAAGAAATGAAAAAATTCTCTCTTCAAAGCCAGGTTTGAACATTGCAAGAAATGGGGCACAGTACCACACAGAGCAGTGACGAGCAAATTAAACCTTTAATAGTTTCATTGTGTTCTTTGTGCATTCTGAATAGTTTGGGGAAAATAGTTACACTGATTCTCTAATTGGAGATACTGTCAAGTTTCATACATTTAAGAGGATTGTACAGACAAGTTTCTTTGTGGGATTTCTTAACTTTTAAGTGTTTGAACTTGCAGTCTTTTAAAAGGCATGTGTATGCACATGACTAAATGTATAATATGCAGTTAGAATTTAGTGCCAGAACACTCAGACTTTGCACCAAGATCTGTTTCTGGATATATGTCTTAGCGATCTGACAGGTGTTTTAACACTTTCATCTACATATGTTTACTTTTGGTTGTGCGTGCTACTTCTTGTGGTTATCTTAGCAATAAAACCCTTTGCTTTCTCTTTTTGGATTTACAAAGCCAACTGTCAAAACAGTGGAGAAAGTTTAAAGATGTTACTGTCCCAGGGTACAAATATCTGTAACTTTTCTAAATGTTGAAAAGAGGCTGTAGGAGTCATGCCTACATTTCTGGAGTACCAGGGAGTGGCAGGAATGGTGTGGTGTGGTGTGGTGTGGTGTGGTGTGGTGTGGTGTGGTGTGTGTGGTGTGGCAGCAGGGGTGGCACGCTCTTTACGCTGTGTGTTGGTACGCTGCCTAGCCCGTCCCTCATACATAGTTTAGATTCTTGGACACTGACGCAGTATAAATTGTCATAGGAGTAAGCGTGTAAAAATTACACAGTACGCTGGAAAAGCTTCAGTGTTACAGAGGAACCAACAATTGCGTCAACTGAAAGTGTACTGAAAAAGCATATATTGCCTGTGAACAGCAGTCACTTACTGCTCTGTTCCAAATCTTGTTGCCATTATTACTTTTTACAATGAGAAATCAGTAAATTACTAAAATAAAAGATAGCATTCCCATTCAGAAACTGCACATGCATTTCAGCCATGAGGAATTAGAGGTGGGACAGGCAGGCAGCACAAACAACTGACTGGTGGTAAACATGTTATTTCAAATAAAGAATGATTTAGGACAGGAGTGGAAAGGAGATAAGCTTTTTCTTTGTATACGGTCTATCTACAGTTGAAGATTTCTTGTTTAATTGTAGACTTGTGAGTGCCAATTAATTCCACTTAATAATATCCCTGTTCTTTTTTTTCTGGAAATAATTGATTTAAAGAAAGATCAGAGAGAGAGCAAAAACAGTTAGACTTGCAGAAGCCTTCAGTTCCTGCTATACCTCCGAAGAAACCTCGGCCACCCAAAGCAAACTCTGTGAATAGACCTGGTACCTTGCCCCCGAGACGACCAGAAAGACCAGTTGTGCCTGTGACTCACACAAGGTATCGTTTTTTCCTCTGTGTAGTGCTTTTGGGATTAGTGGAAAAAAACAAGACGTTTAGATTTAGATTTAATGTCACAATTTATTTCATGGTAAACTGTATTTAAAGAACAAGGAAAAAAAATAAAAGCCTTTTAGTCACCTGGCTGGATCATAACTATCTTCTCAAGAATAACAGTCTTGGACTGTTCATTACTAGTTCATGTCTATTGATGAATATGTTGCTAGAGCATCATAGTCTCCACTGCAGAATATGTAGCAAATGCCTGCATTAGTATGTCGTGCTGATGTTGACTTTCTTAGTTTACCCCAAATTATTCCAGCTTAGCCGGATCACTAAGTCAGTGCAAAAGGTTGGATTGTGCTGAGGAGCAGCACTAGACAATGCACATTTCAAATGCCTTGGTTTCAGTCCGTTTTCTTTGATCATCTTAGATCAATTTTTAGCAAAATACATGTGTCTTCATTGAAAGTGCTCTAAGCTGGTGCCACTGCAGTATACTGCTGTCAAGTATTTATACTCTAATGTTGGTTGTTATACTTTAGTTACGTGATGTTCTTTATCAGAGGTGGTTACAGCCTTTGAGGAGGCTTGAGACTTTGGGAATTGAGGAATTGAACTTGCCAGTTTTGTGGTGGAAACCACAAAAAAGCAGTTGCCTAAAATGGACAAGCTGTGCATCTTGCAGAAATACTAGAATATAGGCATAGAAATAATTTTACTATTGTATTGTTAGAAAAATTAGCTGCCTTTGAACTTCCGGAGTTCAAATATGCTGGTGGTGAATTAAATACCAGAATGGAGTATGAGGAAGAGTGGAATAAAATAGAAATCCTAGACCTTGATTCCCCTCATTCCTCCACATACTGTTCATTAAACAAATGCTCTCAGTGTGAAATCTGAGACATGTAAAATAAAAAAGTGGTGCCTGCCTTGTGCTGCCAGTTTCATCTTACTGGAGTGCTTTGGCTGTGCATCTGTGAGAACTTACCCTTCTATCCAGGTGCTACTGCCACAGCTTCTTTTGGACTCCTTGACTTTGAACATGCTTGCTCAGTTGTCACAAAATATAGCCCACACCTGCTGGTCACTTGGACATACCTGAAAAAGCAAGCATTTGCTACGACCTTTAGATACAGTTAAGTGATGTCTTCTTGGCCAGACCATTACATACCCTACTGTTCAGTTCACTGGCTAGGCATGCAGCAAGGTAGCTACTCTTTTGTTCTATCCTTTGTCCGGAATATTTTAGACATATTATAAATACTTTAAACATTTTGAGTGGTGGAGAGTTGTTTTATTGCTCTTCTGTTTTCCTTTATTCTAAGTACAAAGTTGTATGAAGAAACCATTCATTTTTAAAGATATTTCACTTTTCATGTTAACAAAGTGGAAAGGCAGATCTGAACAGTAACCCTGTTATGTTCTTCATTGTCCAAACTCTGCTATGTCTAGCACAGAAAAAAATGCTCATTCTTTTTATCTAATACTATTATATTTGAAAGAATTTTACTTGTAACAGTAGTTAGATTAAAACTTAGAAGGAAATGGGATTTTTAAGATGATGATGATGCATGTTGATGGTCACAGTGGTAGCAGTTTCCCTATGAATTCCTTGGTCAGCTAATTCAAATTAATGGCTTTATCTCATACAGCTGTTCTGCCTGGTAAGCTCTTAACTTGTAAGGTTGTCTAATAGGAAGAGAGCAGAAAGTTTACATAATTAAATAAACCATGGAATATACTTTGAATTATTTGAATAATTTGAATCATAGAATCATAGAATAGATTGG